CTTTTCACTGTATTTTTACATTGAACACACGTGACAATAAATGATACAATTCAATTCAAAAAAGTCACCTATTTGCACTGAACACTTGCACAATATTCATTCAGCAAACATTGTGCTCCTGGGATAATTCCCTGCTCGACAAACAGGCTACATGATTGTGGAATGGGCACAGAGGTGGACTGTGCACAAGGCCTATCTGTGTCCAGCATTGTAAGCATGTTTTAATAAAAATACAGTAAAACATGAAATAGTGCTTTAATCCATGGATTGAAAGAAACCAATTGCAAGCTAAAAAAGTTGAAAAGTCAAGTTAAATTACTTGTGAAACAAAGACAAGAAACACAGCAATTCTTTTTTTTACACTTCCATAAAAACAAAGGCAGATGTTGATGTGAAGGTGCTTCTAGAGCAAGGAAATTTGGCTAGTGAAATATTAACATCTCTGAACACAGAACACTTAAAATTGTGGCTGGGAAACAGAAATTAAAATGACTCAGTGAAGTCAAAAGGAATAAAATGCTTCAGGTGTTACTTGAACTTGTTAACCTCCGTCCACATTCAGTTAGATGGAAATTTGGAACTGGAAACTCAATAATGCTTCGCTAGCTGTCTAGAGCTGGGAGAGCTGAAAATGCAGCTGGAGTTCAGGGACAAAGAGAGAGATGGGGGCCTGAGTTTTCCAGCTCATGAAGTTGGAGCTGGAATAATAAGTACAGAAAGAATTAACTGGATTAAGACTGCAAGGGAAAACCCTCCAGCTCCCAGTAGCAAATTCCTTGCCCCAGAACCAAGCTTTAAGATTTGTAAATGATAAATTTGTGAATTTGAAGAGGTTGAAGTTGAATTCTTTTTCACTACCTTTGAAAAGGTGACAGGTAACTATGATGCCACAGGAATTGTGGACTCTCATGATCCAGAGTCAGTTAACTAGGAAAATTCGAGGTGTTACATGCTGACCCCTAAGATATTTCTCAAATATGAGGAGACAAAATCTGTCATCCTTCATGTTTTTGAACTGGCCCCAAAGGCATATCACCTGTAATTCAGGCTTACTTTGAAGGAGAAAGAGTGCATAAGTGTAGATTTCTTATAGAAGTATAGTTTTCTCACAGATCTGTAGTAAGGTACAAATATATGGGTAAGGGTTAAAAGTAAGAATTGAAAGACCACTTGCTTGCTGCTGCAGAGACAGGCAGCCAGTTGGAAGATAGTTTCTTAGGGAACAGGCCACAGGATGTTCCAGGTGGGAAACAAACTAGTCTGCAGATGTTAGTGGCAAGGGCTAGACACGATGAGTATCTGCATGTTTATTTTTGATAAAGGTTTCAATAGACACATCTCCCCCAGTGTGAGGAGCTGTATATCACTGATAGTAAACTGTGTGGTGTTGTTAGATTTACTGCTCATGCTAAATGTGGATAATGATTAATATAGTTTCGGGGTCGCGTCAGCTTGTTTGTGTAATGGTATAAAAGAAGTGCTTTCTTACCATCGTATTTGGAGAGAGTTCAACCTCCTGAGTGTGTCTTGGAAGCCCTCCCCCTGCATCTACACTGGTGTTTTGCTTGAATAAATTTCTTAAGTGCTGCTTCACTTAGTTGTCTCCGAGCCTCTAACTGCCTTTATGGAGATCACTGTTACAACTTCAACAGATAGAATGCAATAACAAGCATTTTGTTTAGCAATATAGACAAGATTTTTCCTAAATATTTAAAGGGCAAATGTTTTAAATGCCTTAACAACTTGACAGCTCCCTTTTTGGCAGCTCTGTTGATGGTTCCTTTAGACAGTGACTTCCAACATTTCCAATGAATTTATGCGCTTATTACATACATCTTTTAACAATATCAATGGCCACTTAATGTCCTCCGTAGACCTCCTGTGTTCCTTTTAAAAAGGGCATCTTTACTTTCTAAAGGGGTACCCTACAATTCAAGCAGCTCTGCAACATTTAGATCTACCCCTGCCAATTCTAATGAGCACATTTTCTGTTCCTCATCCTTCGATAATATAAATCAGACATGGCTTGGTGTTTTATATGGGTAACTGCTAAAAATATGCAATTTAGAAGTGGTCCACATTGCTCCCCTACAACCTAACCAGAACCGTGAATATGATAGCAGCTGAATTCCAGGTTGGAATTTCTGGATTCTGGCTTTTGGACACAATTTTTATAATGATGTCGTTATGAAAATTAAGGCTTGAGATAACTTCCCTTGTTGAACCACTGACAGCAACTAGACTGGTACAGGTTGAAATAACATTGAGGTAAAATTAAACTATTACGCAGGATTTTGTGCATCAGTTAGTTCAGTTGGATTGATGGCTAGCATGATGCCAGAGGGAGACAAGTATAGGAGAGGTGATGGCCTAGTGGTATTATCATTATACTTTTCAACCAGAGACCTGGGTAATGTTCTGTGGACTCAGCTTCAAATCCCACCATTGCAGATGGTGAATTTGAATTCAATAAAAATCTGGAATCACTCAGTCTAGTGGTGACTGTGAAACTGTTGCTGATTGTTGGAAAAACCCATCTGGTTCACTCATGCCCTTCAGGGAAGGAAATCTGCCATCCTTACCTGGTTTGGCTTACATGTGACTCCAGATCCACAGCAATGTGGTTGACTTTCAACTGCCCTCTGAGCATTTAGGGCTGGACAATAAATACTGTTCTGGCCAGTGACGTCCACGATCTGTGACTGGATAAAAAATGAAAAGAATAATGCCAACAGTGCATATTTGATTCCAGTTCTGACTGAGGTAGATGGTGGGACTGCTTTCTTGCCTGCCTCCCTGTGAGTGGAAGCGAATAGCAAGCTATTGCCAACAAAAGGTGCCAAGTAAATGGACGAAGATTGAGTACACAATGAGCCATGATCTCCCTTCAGCTGGAACATACATACATTGATGGATTTTAGCAATGGGACTTATCCAAGATTGTGACGAAACTAATCTTGACAAGAAGCATGTGGAATATGAATTGTCAAAGGATTTTCTTCATTTTCCTAATTTGTCCAGTATCTGTAAGTGCTTAATACAAAAATAAAACAAAATAATGATGTACTGGACCATTTAAATCCATTAATAATGGTTAAAATTACAAAAGTCAAACATTAAACCTGGTGTACACATATAACGCAGAGAAATACTCTTCTTAGAAACTGGGCAGTTTCTTTATTAATAGTCAATTAAGTGCACAATTTTCTGTTTCTTTTTCAAATGAATAATTCAAAGATTGTAAAAGCTGATACCACCATTAAGCCTGCCATTTTAAATATTTAAATGTTTGCATTTATCTAATTTAGTTAAGTGACTTAATGCAATTTTTAAATGTGATTAGAATTCTTTGTTTTAACTCCATAGTTGGAAATTTTGCTTAATATTTGATACTATTTTTCTTGGAGTGCATAATTTTTTTCCCATCAAATGTAATGTCAAAGATTAATTAACCGAAGTGATGCATAAGAATTTGGAACATTGACAATATTAAGTGAGGATTTTGGGTGGATTTATTCTACTTATTGTTTCGCTTTCCTTTATAGGTTTTAAAGTTTTTCCATTACTTTGCTTTCTTGGAGACCATATGTCTAAGAGATTAGTTAATTAACTAGGCAGACACTGTAGGTGCCATGGTCGTTTAAGAGGTTATTCTAACGTGACCGTCTAGTTTATGGTAATTTCATGAAATGAATGACGTATGTAATTAATCGTGGGATACTCCTTTTTTACTTATACTGGCTTACTGTATGTGAAATAGATATTAAAATTTCTTATCATATTTTAAATTAATGAACAAAAAGATTGGAAATACCTGGACATCTGTGATGAGAGAACTGGAGTCAACCGGTCTAAGTTTGACCCTGTGTCCGTGAATGGATTATGAGATCAAGATTGATGGGCATTCATCAGTAACATTTCCTGTAACAGGTGCAGCAATATGTTAAGGTCAATCATTTTTATGTAAACTGTGCCAGAAGTAACTATTACATTTTTAACAGCTTTTGGACTCTGCATGATCACATATTTAAATTTATGAAAAACTTGATGTAAAACGCCGACAAAAACAAATTGCCATAATTGCTAAGTCCTTTCATTGTAATATGCCATCATAAATATGCAATCTTGAGTATTCATGAAGAAAGACACATTTTGTCCAAGTTCTTCATCTTTTTTTTCATACAATAGATTAAAACTCTTTGATAAATGACTTTTTGCAGCAGTACTCAAGTTCTGTGGCACTAAGTGATTATTAATATGCAATCTGCAAGACATTCTCATAAAATGTTGTTACTGTGAGGCTTAAGCATTGTTACGTTTTGTCTAATAAAGTGAGTTTGCTATCCACAAATTTCAAACAGTGTAATTCACAAAATCAAAACAATTATAGCACAAAATTATGTCCTTCCTGTGTATACAAAGCAGACAATGCAATAAAAATGAATAAATACGCTTCTGCAGCAACCATCATTTTATGCAGATGTAGAATTAAGACAAGTTACCCTGATTTGAAGTTGTCATGACTGCAACATCAGTTAGTTTCCTAAATAAGCCATATTGTAGTTACATAAATTAATGTGCCCTTCAATAGACTTGGAGGTGATTTGATTTACACTGAAGAGGAAAATTTGAATGTTAGGTACACCATGCTGTAGCAAGCCATAACAACAGAACAGACAAAATGCTTTGAATTAATCAGTTCATTTAAGGACTGTCTGGAATTGCCAGCATTATCATAAGCATACAGAGTCTTCTCTTCCATCTGTCCATTGAGCATACTAAACAATTATATTTTCGTCATCTACCACCTGTCCTTCTTTACTAAATTTAAAAGATTTTCTTCTCCCCTTTAAATGGATGGTGTCTATTTCTGCCTATTAAATAGTCATTTCCTCTTTCTTTTGGATCTCTGCCCTTCAAAATTGGCCTACGGCTTGAGCTGATTTCATATCATCTTCCACTATCTATCCGTCTCCCATGTTTTCTCTCTCCTGTTTCAGCAACAGCTCTTATCAACACTGCATCGTGCGAAATTGGGGCAGCGGGAGTGTTACATCATATCAATCTCCCCTTTCCTTCAGCTCTTCACAGATCTACAGGGACTTCGGTAGGGAGAAAGTTACGTTTCAAAAACCTACTGGGGACATCAGGTAAAGTGTTTCAAACTTTAATTGTGGATAAACCCTTCTAGTTATTTTTCTTCAGTTCTACATAAAACATTCTCCTTATTTCCCCATGCATCAGCTGTGTATGCTTCTGATAATGAGATTTATGGACATATCCTAGCTTTCTACTAATGTATGTAAACCACTAATACCATTTTACTGCTAATTGAAAATTACGCTCGAAATGAAGTCAGAAAGCAAATTCAAATCACATTAATGCTGATGAAACATTTTAAACCCATACTGCTGCTAGGGAAACCTTTGCAATTTTGACAATTTTACATTTATGTGCTTGACACAATTCTTACATTCCAATTTTTATTGTCTATCACTGACCTTGTAATCAATAAAACAAATTAATACCCGAGAGATTAGAAAATTATTGTTCATCAAGTGCTGAGACCAATTTCTCTAACATAATCACGTTTTTGAGTTTCTTATTGCTTTTCAGTGCAGTAGGTCTACTTTTTTTAAAATCAAAATAAGGTGTTTTACCTTTAGAGATTGAACACAAATTTCTAATCAGATACAAAAACGGAAATTATTGGAAAAAACTCAGCAGATCCGACAGGATTTTTGGAGAGAAATCAGAATTAAGGTTTCGTGACCAGTGACCCTTCTTCTGAATGGATTTTTAATGTCTCTTTGTACTCTGTTAACATTTAGTTCCTGAAAAGTTGGAACCAGAGTTAAAGGAGAATGTAATTGTTGACAAAGATGCGAATAACATGTTAACAGCTGCCATTTACTTAAAGAGTAATTCTTCATGGAAATGGATTTCCACTAGAAGATGTAAAGTATAGGTTCCACACCTTGCATTGTAGGATATCCTGCTTTATGGAAAAGATTCAGGAATATAGTATGGCTTGGAACAAAATGCTTTCACATTGATATTTTTCTTCTTTAAAATAATGCAACACACTATGCACCAATTTGTATACATAACAAAGACCAATTTGCACCATTTTTCATTTTGCAATCCATGTCAAGTATGCCACTAATGTCATGGACTTCATTAGCAAATGCGTGAAGGACTGTGTACTGAAGAAGTCAATCCAAGTGTTCCCCAACCGTGAGCCTTGGATGAACCAGGAAATCCACTCCCTACTGATGAATAAACGTGCAGCATTCAAGTCGGGTGACCCGGACCAATACAGAAAATCCAGATATGACCTCTGCAAAGCCATCAAGGAGGCCAAGAGGCAGTATCGGACCAATTTAAAGGCCCAGACTACCAAACAGATTCCCACCTTCATTGGTAAGGCCTAAACGACATTACGGGATACAAAATGAAACAGTGTTAGATGGCGGACAATGACACATCCCTCCCTGACACGCTCAATGCTTTCTGTGCTTGGTTTGAGCTGAATACCCCCGGTCGCCTGCCGCGACAGCCCCAGACATACCTGTTCCCTCTGTCACCGCTTCAGAAGTCAGATGAGTCTTCGTGAGAGTCAATGCAAGGAGAGCAATGGGCCCGGATGGTGTCCCCGGCCAAGGACTCAGATCTTGTGTGAACCAACTAGCGGAGGTATTCACCGACATCTTCAACCTCTTCCCTCCTACAAGCCGAACACCCCTCCTGCTTCAAAAAGACTGCTATCATCCCCGTTCCCAAGAAAACACATGCCATGTACCTTAATGATTACTGCCCAATAGCTCTGACTTCAATAATCATGAAGTGCTTTGAGAGGCTGGTCATGGCCCACATCAACTCCAGTCTTCCAACCTGCCACAATCCCCTACAGGTTTGCCTGCTGACATGACAGGTCCACAGAGGATGCCATATCACCCTGCACTCATCGCTGGAACATCTGGACAACAAAGACACCGACGTCAGATGCCTGCTCGTTGACTGCAGCTCCGTCTTCAACAACATTATCGCCCCCAGACTGATCTCAAAACTGTGTGACCTTGGCCTCAGCTCCACCCTCTGCAACTGGATCCTCAGGTTTCTGACCCATAGGCGACAGTCAGTGAGGATACGTAACCGCACCTCCTCCACAATAACATTCAACACTGGAGCCCCCCAAGGATGTGTCCTCAGCTGCCTACAGTACTCCCTGTACACCTATGCCAAATTCCAAACAAACACCATCCACAAGTTTGCTGACAGCACCACCATAGTGTGATGGATATCTAACACCGACAAGTCAAAATATAGAAGGGAGATAGAGGGCTTGGTGACGTGGTGCAATGAAAACAATCTGTGTCTCTACGACAGCGATACTAAAGGACTGATCATCGACTTCAGAAAGAAAGGAGGAGACACGCCCCCATTTACATAAACAGAACTGAGGTTGAGGGAGTGAAGAGCATCAAGTCCCTCGGAGTGATGATAATCGACCTGTGCTCAACTTCCCATGTAAATGCGACAGTTAAGAAGGCACAACAATGCCTCTTCTTCCTCAGGTGGCTCAGGAAATTTGACATGTCCATGAGGTCCCTCTCCAACTTCCACAGATGCACCGTTGAAAGCATACAGTCCGGGTGCATAACGGCCTGGTGTGGCAACTGCTCTGCCCAGGACCATATGAAACTACAGAAGGTTGTGTGCACAGCCCAGACCGTCATGGAAGCCAATCTTCCATCCATGGACTCTATTTACATGGCTCGCTGCCACAAAAAGATGGCCAACATCATCAGGATCCATCGCACCCTGGGAATGATCTCCTACAACCTCTTCCATCAGGCAGAAGATACAGAAGCCTGAACACATGCACAGGCAGGTTCAGGAACAGCTTCTTTCTGGCCGTTATCAGACTGTTGAATGGACTCGAGCCTCAAATAATGTAACCTGCAATGTAATCTGTATGCCTGTAAGTCTTTTTGATCTATACATCCTTTGCTTGCTGTGATCTGCCTGTACCGCTCGTAAACAAAGCTTTTCACTGTATTTTGGTGTACATGAAGGTAAATCAATCAGTTAAATTTACACAATGAATGTAAATCCCTCACCAAGCAAAGTTGCTCTCTTTCAGTCTGAAGCTAGCAGTTGATGGCAAAGTGTAAGAAGTGTGGGTGTGGGGGTGTGTGTGGGGGTTGGTGTGGGGATGGAGATGGATGCATGTGTGGGACGGTGGGTGTGTGTGTAGGGGAGGTGTGTGTGTGTGTGTGTGTGTGTGTGTGT